CGACTGTAGCAGTGGGGTCCTGTGTGTCAGGAAGTGTGAGGATGGTGCAGGATAAACCAGGGTTCACATCTTTTGTTCATAGAGTCACCATGAATCGTACTCAACTCTACGGCACCTAACAACAACAACATTAGTAGGACATTCTTTCCAATGTCCTCTTGCTTTCTTGATGCCCCTAATGACTAACACAAAAGACCATTCTCCCTCTTTTTTGAAGTAAATTCTTTGTTGTGCTTTGAGTGAAAGTTTACAGAGAAAATTGGTTTTCTATTCAGCCATTCATACAAATGATAAATGTTGGGTGCACTGTTGTTTAAGTAAGGACTGAATCAGCTCTGTTCTTGGGAGTCCTCCTTCTCTCATAGGCATCAGAGATGGGCTTTCACAAGCTAATAACTGGGTGGTACATATCAAACCTTTTTATGTTCTTTCCTGCCAGTTCACATGGAAGTTTATATGGACTACATTAGGGAGCAAGGGCCAAATATGGTTTTCAGCAGGTCCTTAGAAGAGTTTTCTTTGATGTTCACAATTCCTGTGACTCAGGATAGGCTAATTATACTGTGAAATTCAGGTCTAGAAACTCCCCTTATAAAACTGCCACAGGAGTATGTTCCATATGTTTCAGCTGTTCCTTTGCAGGATACTAGCAAGTATACTTTGCAGTCCAGCCTTCTGCCAGTTACTAACTACCTGTAGAGGTGTAGAAATTAGGGTCAGGACTTCCCTAAGTGCATTGTTTCATGTCATAATCACCTTGAACTGCTAATAGAACCAACGAGTCTGTCTCAAAGGATGTGCAGCCAGTTTCTATATAGATGTGTGGTTGCTGAAACCCTATCTCCCTTACTTTGGGCATATTTTCAGGAGAAACCAAATCCTTGGAGAGAGGCATCATGCTGGGAAAGGAAGAGAGTCAGTTAAAGAGAGTAAGACTCTCAGCGAGAGATGGATTAACACACTGACTACCATAACGGGTTTGAGCATGCGTGTTTGTCAGGATGGTGCAAGATTGGGCAAGGTTCAGATCTGTTGTTCATAGGGTTGCTCTGGGACAGTTGCCTTGATGGCACCCAACAACAACAACAACAACAAAAATCACCAAAATCAAGGCCCTTGACATATGCTCTGGTGGCACAGGTTATGTGCCCAACATAGGCATTACGCAGTGCACATCTAACTGAACAGTTAGTTAGCAGTTTGAATCCACCACTCAGTCAGCGGGAGAAGATGGGCGGTCTCCTCCTAGTAAAAATGAACAGTTTCGCAAGCCAGATGGAGGGTCGCTTTGAGTTGGACTCGATTCAATGACAGTAGGTTTGGTTAAGTGGCTAAATCTGTATTTAATACAGATGAGCATCTTCCCTCCCCCTTCTTTCTTTTCTGTGGGATTTTTTTTTCTTTTTAAATAATTTTCCTTGCTTGATTCAGTCTGCCACCATAAATGGACATGAGCAATTTCTTCTTGCCAACAGCATTGGTTTTCTGGGGAAATTGTAAAAAATCCCTAGATTAGTCCTTGATTTGGCATGACTGATTAAGCAAGCAGCTGCTTTATAAGAAGCAAAGCTGGTAGTGAAACAATTTAATTAGCTTCTCTCTGTGTCAAACCTTTTATGGAAACAACAACTTGAATATATGGGTCTCTTTATGGAGTTTAAAGGAAGCTACATTTTTGGAAAGGGAGCCTAACAACATGTACCCCAAAGACTTGACTGAAATAAGCGTGTTAAAGACATAAAAGTTTTCATCCAGTATGTTAAAGACTTAATGAAAAATTGTTTCATGGGGAAGGAAGCGTGACAAAAGTCTTAATGATGAATTGTTTGAATGCCTTTTACTGGATTAAACTAACAGTTTATAAAATGGATGTTGCATGTTACATACATTCTCTCTCTCTCTCTCTCTCACACACACACACACACACACACACACACACACAAGCACACACACACATCTTGTAGCATAACTTGTAACAAACATTTATGAAATAAATTTTCATGTTGTATTCTGAATTTAATGAAAAGAGACCAGCCTGTCTGTACCCACTCAAGGACCAGCCAGGCAGCTGACATAGCCCTTCAGAGCAAACCATCCCCTATAGTTAAGGGTATATTCTCTTTTCTGCCCTATTCTGGTAACTGGTTTCTTTTTTTTTTTCCAAACCCCTATTTGCCTTTTTTTTTAATGCCAATAAAAGTATTTATTGTACCACTTTCTTCTTAATGTTCATGATAAAGGAGGGGAAAAATAGCAAAATGCATTTATTTCCTCTATGACAAATTAAAGATACCACCAATTGCGATGGATGCCATCATTGTTAGGTCCCCTTTTTGTTTTAACCTTTTTAAAAAAAATTTTTATTTTTATTTTACTATTTTTTTGTGTGTGTACCGTCAAATCAGATCTGACACCAGTCAGGAGGAGATTGTCCCTCCTTCACAGACAGAGCATCTGATGGTTTCAAACCTTGTGCCTCTGGGATGGTAGTGCAGCTTCTTGCCACTAGGCCACCAGAGTTCCTCTGCTTTAATCTTAAGAAAACTTTTTTCTCCCTTTACACTTCACTTAGTATACTTTAATGATATTTAATTTCTGTATGAAACATTTGTATGCTCTTTGGTTAATGTTAAATTTAGGCTAAATTGCTGCAAATTAAAGTTTTTAGTACCCAATCAACATAGTAAAGAGTCCTAATGAGAAGAATTGTAATCGTTGTTTTTACTGAGCTTAAAAAGGATAAAGGGGAATTTATTAAGACACATGCGTTCTGTTGGAAGGTGTCCTGTGGGAAATTGATTTTTATTATGATATCCTGGTTGGCAGGGAATAGAGTGGGATTGTTGCTGGTGTAGTTGATGATTTGATTTTTCTCTGGTGAATTGGCTTCTGTAGGTGACTTTATTTCCTCACATTAAATAGTTAATATTGATTCATTTCCTTTTCTTGTGAGGATTAGCTCCATCAAAGATGGAGCCCTAGAAATGCTCTATTTACTGGTTATAAGCAAATATATGAGTGTCCTTTTTTTTGGTTTGACTGTTGCTAAGGTATTTAGGAACCAAATAGAAGTTAGGCTCAGTAGGAAAGATACTTACAGAGTGTATTTGTATGTACACACACACACATGTATATAAATGGATATAAGCTCTGGTGGCCTAGTGGCAAGAAGCTGCACTGCAATCCCAGTATGGTTCAGGACCACCAGCTGTGCTGCATGAGAGAGATGGACAATTTCCTCCCATGAGATTAACTGCTGAAGGTTCAGCTACGGTCAGTTCCAACTCAATCGTACATAACAACAATAACAATGTGTGTGTATGTGTATCTCTCTCTAATCTCTCTACTATCTATCTATCTACCCACCTACCTGCCTGCCTACCCACTTATCTACCTACCTGTCTACCTACACAACTTTGGTGGCATAGTGGTAAGAAGTTGCACTGCAATCCTGAAAGCATGCAGTTCAAATTCACCAGCTGCTTCTTGGGAGAAGTATGGTCAGTCAGTCTCCTCTGGTGCAATCAGTTGCCTCTGAAAACCCACTTGGAAGGTCAGCTTGGAGTTGGTTCTTATTGGATAACACACAACAACATCAACTCTGTCCTTAATACCAGAGGTTCTTTTATAAAAATATTTGAGGTTAAAAAAAAAATCTGGATTTTTTTGGTTCAAGGCTACACATGACTGTAAAATATTTTTTAAAGGTTACATATAAATTTAACTAGCAATAGTGGTATAGTTTTTTAAGCTTATGTTCTTCTTAAGATTGTGTTGTTATTATTCTTATGATTTTAATTTTGTTGTACATATCGTTTGTCCCACTGTATGAAGGTTTCATTGGGTAATTGTTTTTTCTTATTGTGTCCTTTACCCTTGTAGCTCAATTGTTACCTTAGAAAGTATCTAATCAACTCCCCAACTTATAGATGAGAAAATGGAGGTATAGAGAAATCAGATGATTTTTCCCAAATTTAATGAAAATTGATGTTACTAAAAGGATATCTCAGTTATACTTCAGAGTCCTTCTTAATATTAAACGTGAAGATTTGGATGATTTTAATCTTATGATGTTAAAGTTGTCTTGTAAAGTTTGTGCCCTTGAAATATTTTTTAATTCAACATATATATATATA